TGACATATCTAAATAAGTTATGCACACTAATATATGTATTCAAACAGATTATGGGAGATAATTAAGGATAATTTCTGCAGCTATGAACTCAGCTGCATAACAGAGGGTAAATTTGCATAGCCTTTTTCAGACAAACTCAGATTTACATTTTTGCAGACCATAACAGTCAGAGAAACTTACTAATGCATTAACTACATGGCTTCTAGAGGCCGTGTACTATGTGGACAGTACACATAGTTCTGAGAGGAAAGCAGGAAAAAAAAAGGGGGGGGGGGTGCGGGGAGAGAGAGATTCTATACAGAATCAAAAAGAAGCAAAAACTGAGATGGGCATGCAATATATCAGGCAGTATGTATTGTATAGTTTATATCCCAAGAGAGGGCACAAAAGGTATTTGTTTGAAAAGATTACATTGGATGAAGAAGGCTAGCAAAATGGATTAATCAGAGATGTATCAACAGCTTGGTAATGAATAAATAATGCCAGGGAAGATCACCTATGAAAGGCCTTGAAAGTAAAGATGAATAACTTGTTTAGTGCAATAAAAAGTTACCACAGACTGAAAATGAGCTAAGCAGCTGCATTCAGAACAGATATGAATGGGTTATAGCACATGTTCAGGAGGCTACAGAAAATCAGTTTGACAGGTTTATGAGATTTAGCTGCATGGAAAGAATACATCATAATGCATCTTAATGTTATCATGCAAGAAAACTCAGAAAAATTCAGACACAATTTGATCAAAGTATGCTTCTTGCCTACATAGATGAAGTCAAGGTCGTATGGAAAAGCCACAAACAGAAATTTGGCATTACTGTGACAGGTTAATGGATGAGATACAGTAAAGAAAAGAGTACAATCTGCCTTATTAACTATTTTAAACATGAACGGTTTATTACCCACAATGCCACAGTTATAATGGCTGGGAAATACCTTGCCTAAATTTTCATGTCTATATCCTCAGTGGCTACCCCTGAGCCAGTCTCCTATTACTTTTGGTGGAAATCTTACTGGTACAATCAACCAGCCTTGACAAGGTCAAGCTAAGCACCCCCAAGCCACTTGCTTGGTCCCTCCAAAGGATGGGGGAGAAAATCAGAAAAGCAAAAGTGAGAAAACTTGTGGGTTAAGATACAGACAGTTTAGTAAGTGAAGGAAAGAGAAAAACAAGCAAACAAAAATGATGTAATCACTCACTACCTCCTACAACATCAAACACCATAAATTTCACTAACTCTTACCAACTAGATTTCCATTGACTGTGAGGAATGCAAGAGCAGCTCCTTGACAAGTAGATACCTACACTGTGGAATGTTTATTTTATTTACGCAAGTTTAATTTGGAGAGAAAAATCTTATTAGGGACTCGCAAATCATCTACACGGAGACAGTAATTGAATTTGTGTGTATGGGTAAGGAACAAAGAACAAAACAGAAAGAAAAGTCTTCGTATTTTAAAATCATCTTCCTGTTGATGGGGTATTAATGAGTTTTAAGAGGGAATGAAGTACTAGTCTGAGAAGCAAATAAAGGATTCAATTGCTAATTTAGAGACTTGTTTCTCTGGTCTATAAAAAACAGATTTTTGAGAAACAGACAAATTAGGTTGTAATTACTAAAACATGAAAACTGAGATTTCTTAGCTATCTCTGAAAGTGTGCTACAAACTTCAGCACTGGATAACCAAGTTCATTTAAGATTCTAAGATTATTTTTCAGCCTTAGGTATCAGAGTAAGAATAATGATTCTATGTTTGAAAAATGAGATGTTGAGAATGACATTATTAAACAATTATAGTTTTGTGTGCTTGAACTAATGAAGCTTGGTTTATTTTGTCTGTTTAGATTAAAGGTTGACTGCCTTTGCAGTCCTACAGTGCAAGTTCCAACTGAATCTTTCCAGCAATGAGGGCATTAAAAGGCTTTTTTTTTTTTTTTTTTTTTGGCTACACATTAACTGATGTCTAACAAGTTTCTATTACCACTTTTTAGAACTTGTAGGATCTGTTTTCAATGGCCGTTTTCATACAATTTGTACAAACATAATTACATTGGACACCTCTTTCCACCATCTTCTGTTGAATTAGCTAAAACACTAAAACTAGAGGACATAGACAGGGACTGTACAGGTATTGTTTCGATGGGTAAACAGGACAGAAGAATTCAGTACTGAATTCTGAGACTTGTGAATTAAGATTAACTTGCATTTGTAGTAGACAGTAAAACAACTATAGCAGCATGTGGAGAAGTACTGCTTGGTTTCAGCAAAGATTTGGTGTTGCAGATGCCTTCTTCGCAGATGCCAAATAGCACATCACAGTAATCCCATGACTCTCCTTCCCATCTCCCTACCCTAACCTGTCCAGTCTCCCCTACCTCAGTACTGGATCCACTAGTTACACTGGATGATCAATGAATTCCCTACACATGGACAAACACAAATTAAACATGTTTTAAACAACCTTCAGTTTGAATTTGAAGGGCATCTTCAGAAGGTTCACTTTCTACAGAGATTATGGATCCTTTGATAATGATTATGTCATAGTTGGATAATATGAGAGAGTAAACATAACACCTTGGAAGCCTTCTAAAGGTCTATTTCTTCCACACTGCACATGGAAGTAAAGGCAATTGAATATTCGGGTATCAGGCCTTTCTTGTGCAACATTCCTAGACTCTGTCCCACAGGACTTACCTTCTACTTTATTTATTTCATGGTGGAATTCATTTTAATCCTAAATTAAGTGATATATGAACTTCTGATTTAATTTTTAACTCGTAATTTAATTTTTGAGTACCTGACTTGAAGGTACCTTACAGAGTTTAAAGGCATAAGTCACATTTAGATAGCAATCACTTCTACACTGAAAATCACAAGATAAGTGGAAGTAGTTCTTTAAAATTCTGTCCAAAACAAAAGATAGCATAAGAACAGATATTCTAAAGTATTCAATAACCCTGTAAAAAAAAAAAAACTTTTGGGGAGCAAACATTATCTGCATGCATTGATCACTAATACTATCATTAATTTAGTCTTCTATATTTCTCCCTTACACAAGGTAGACTCCAAAAACTGCTCTTGCATAAGAATTATCCAGAAGCAATTTCTAAAAAAATCTACAAGGAACAATTTTAAAAGTAACCTTTGCTGCATTCAGTAGGATGCCATGACCCACTAAGGGCAGTGACTTCCTTCTTTCCCTTCCTTTACAAAGAAAAGACAGTTCTCTCCTAATTTTTTAAGTTGAAACGCAGACACTTTACATCAGATCAGAGCACCTGCCATCTTGAATATTCTGAATATGGCCAATACCAGATGAGTAAGATATCCCACAGTAGGAAATTGTGAAAAACAGCTCTGAGGGAAGGTTTTTCTTTATTCTCAAACTACTGAACTGCTCTCTGCCCTGAAGCATGCAGCTCTTATCACTCAGAAAGCTGTTGTGTATGCTTTCAGATTCAGATTTTTCCATAACTGAAAGATTTCCATAACTTCAGATTTTTCCATAACTGAAGTATATTTCTGTATACATGAATTTACTTAAATATGTTGCTGTGACACCCAGTGACACTGTGCTCTGCATGACAATTACCAGGCATGCTAACTTTTTCATACCAGTGTTTGATTTTTCCGTTTTCTATCTTTACTGGATCATCTTAAATTAATCTCTCATATTAATTAACTTCTTGGTACAAGACTCAAACAAGAAATTTCTGTCTGAAGCCATGAGCAAAGTAGAACTGCTGTTAATATTTTTATGAATTTCACCATGCTGTTATTAACAGCATTTTAATTACAATTGTTGTATATGTACATACCAGTGAAATTAGAAACTTTACAGTATTATGGTATTAAGGTTCTTAAAGTTCAATCATGCCAATGCAGATGTTCCTAATTACCTTAAAAGCACAAATACTTATACAAACCGGTTGTTTCCAGCTCCAGTGTAACTCAATTAAAGTAGTGCTTATAATTTAACAATGTGGATGATAGTTAAGCATAGTTAATATGGGAAATTGTTAAGAAATAGCATATATAGTTTATATAAGTCAAGGAGCTGAAATCCATCTGAAGCAGACAAGCAGCTGGGATTTGCCTCAGACACATATAAAATATTGCCTAAAGAAGGTGACACTATCAAAGACATATCAAAAATGGATGAAAGCTTTTATTTCCCAGTAGCAAACACTTAGCAAACTTGCATTATTGGGACTTTTGGTTTCTGCAGGTCATTCCACAGGGTTTTCTTTCTGAGAGTTTTTTTTTCTTTTTTCTTTTTTTAATTGTTTTTTCTTTATTTTTAAGCTGCTAAATGGAGTCTAGCTCCACCCCTACTTCGTATCGCTGCTTGACAAGAGGTGTGTTAGGTACTATAATACAGTTTTAAATCGACATAGGAACTGAAATATGCAAGCTGCGTATGCACACAGACCCTCTCCATGGGTAATGTTTCTGGGAGAAGCACCTCTTAACTACAAAATGTTGTTAACTTTTACTGCTGCACACTGGGTTTACACAGGTAATAGTGGAATGTCAATGCTTACTCCAGAATGGAGTTTCTTTAAATTCAATTATAAAATAGACACATTACAGTGCAATTATCATGTAGATATATTTTGTTTTTCATGTAAAATAGGGAAATGTGGTCATTTATCTGATTAAAACATCAGATATAACCATATGCTGTGTGAACAGTTACTGGTCTCCTACCTCCAATATTAAGTCTGAAAACCTATCAGAGGGATGGGATAGCAAACTTTCAGTTCAGAGCAATCAGTTAAAATAACACGAGGTATTTCCATCCACATTTTTACTTCGATTACATACACGTAAGAGTTAACACTGTAAACTCATATTTTTGTTTAGATTAAATCAACATTGAAAAGGTAACCATGTGTTTGTCTTAAAGAAAGTTTTAGGATAATAGGGGGATAAAAGAAGACCAACGAAGTTCAGCAGGACCCCAGTTCCAAATATGACTCTCAGCTGTGCTAACTGTACCTTGTGTCACCTGTTGAATGGCTAGCATCATCCCAGAAACCGCGTCGGGAACCAAATTCTCCTTCCAGGCATAGGCGGGCACCCACTCCAAAACGGGCAGCCGCCTCATCCACCAGTGCCTGACGTCCTCCAGGCGAAGAGCCCGGACCTTCCTCCAGCCCGTACTCCGGCTCCTTTTTCCCCTCGGCATTGCCAGCCCCGACCGAGGCTCCCCTCCAGCGGGACGCACGGCTCGGCGCCACCCCGCGCCGGGGCGCTCTCCAGGTGGCTTCTGAGGTTTTGCAGTTCCAAGGCTACAGGAAAAAAAAATAAATAAAAGAACAAGGGCACGTAAAGTTGTTTCTTCAGCCGTTCTCCAACCACGCGGGATAAAAGTACTTATTAAGCACTTTTAATCATCTAAACGTGAAACGCAGAGATCCCGACTACTAAGGCTCGCCTCCCCTTAGTTTGGGATCCCTGCCCGTCGCCTCCCGCTTTATATCCTGGGCAGCCTTATATCCCCTGTGCCTTTGGCCTCGCTCCAGCTTTAGCACGGCGGGACCCCCACCGGCACCGGCTCCCCTCCGGCTTCACCCCGGGGGTCCCCTGGGGCTCCCCCGCGTCCACGGTGGCCGCTCTGCCCTCGGGGTGCTGGTCCTGCGGTAGCACCCCTCGCACCCCTCGTTCGTGGTAGGCAGTGTGCAGATCCAAAGTGATAAGCGTACGGGGGAGGTGTAAATGTCAAGTTTATATGCCTTGTCCCATATGGTGCAAGGACACGGTGGCAGTAAGGGTTTCGTGCCTCTGGATGGCAGAAAAAATAATTAGATTAAAATGCAAGATCCATCATCTTTGCAAAAGTGCCCTCCCTATCGTTGTTATGCAACAGGCAACAAAAATAAAAAATATATATTTAAATATTTCAGGTTTGCTCCTATACATTATTTTATGTTTTATTGTTTAGCTTAAGATGAACAAAGCTAAAGCACCGTCCATTCAGCACGGTACCATGGTTTTGATATTCTGCTCAAATCACCAGCAGCGCTGAGCTATCCATTTTAAAGGAGATCTCAATTCTCATCTCAAATAAAAGCTATTTCATAGCCCCTGAAAAGGTTAGAATTAATTTTAAATGGCAAATAAAAATAATTAAATTTCATTTTTAATCCACTAACTCAACTTCCTGATAGTCTGAAACTTGACTCAATTTTTTAACTCCTGGCTTTGGTGGTTCTGAAACAATGCTCCAGTTTTGCAAATATCTGATTGGGTTTCTAACAATTCAGAGTTAATCAGTGCTAAATATGACCTTGGTCATCTACTAAATATTATGGCTTTGAAGGTTTTCATAGTTATAAATGTTTTTTACAATGTATATTACATTTTTGTTCCTGTGTTCAACTTTGATTTTTCTTGTTCTGAATTTTATCACATCTCCCATGTCATATCAGTTCATACCACATTTAATGTCTGTTTTTTTTCTAACACATAAAAGTTTCATTTGATTAGCTAATTTTTTGTGATATGAAATTTTCTTCTAAATCACATTGCCACATCTAATCACATCTAATGATCACAATGTTACTGACAAAACATTGTGGCTTCTGGGTGTACAACCTTAAAAATTAAGTTGATGAATTTGGAAAAGAAATTAAACTAAACTAATAAAAATATAAAATAAAATAATAATAATTAATAAAAAAAAAAAAACACAACACTTTATTCAAAAAAAAGGGGGGGGGAGGGAAGAAGCAAAAGGGCAAATGCACCACTGACCATTCTACTATGTCATTCAGGTGATGTCCACTCAAAAGTGGAAAGAGAAAAATGAAAATAAATAAATAAATAATGGCACAAAAAATGTCTTCTACTACAGTTCCCAAGTAGGACACCAGTGCACTTACTCTTTGCCCTGCCTATCCATTAAACATGTACATCTTTTAAAGAGCAGAACAAACACCCAAGACAGTTTTGTTTTATTTCCGTTCATTGTAACAAACCTCAAGATATTGACTTTTTTTTTTTTTGGCCTTGTTATAGCTTAAAAGTGCAGTTCACGGAGTTCAAAAATGAGGCTTTTATAACTGCCAAGTGTTTCACAACACAGACTTTTGCCTATTTTCAAATGATCAGCAGTGGACAGGAATCCTTCTAGTGAAAGTGAGTTACCTGTCATGAGCTGCTTATTTTTAAATAAACATTCAGTACCTCTAACTGTAACAGCATTTACTGAACAAAAAATACATCTAAATACATTTCTACACTTAGATATGTATGTACAAAAATATGGGTACTGATGTAAAACAGACTAATCCTAATGTAATAAGATACATGGTTCACTAGAAGCTATGAATGAGTATTCTGAAACTGTCAGAAAAAGTATGATGGTACCAAGGACTCATCACTAAACACACAAGAATATATTTGCCATTCTTCAGGCTTCTCACATCAAAATGCTGAAGCTGTTTGAGAAAGTCTGTAATTGAGATTTTCCCACCTAGTATTTGCAGTGTCAGTAAATTTGGAAAGTTTCGTCAAGCCGAGATTAGTATCTGAACTCCTAGGATTAGCTGTATCAACAGACTTCTGTCCATCACCAGTAACAATGGATGGTTTTTCTCTATGGGTGTGTGCATGAATGACTGCAAGCATCTTACAGCTAAGACTTGAAAATACGCACTGCTAGTTTTACACAGACAGAACTGCACATGCAGAGTCTTTAGGATGTCCATGCTGATGTGGTATTTGTGTGGAAATTTTATTTTACTCCAACAATTGCTTTGATGAGAAAAAGACATTGAATTATCATTAGATCTGGACTTGATCAACATCGTCAGCAGTCATGAAAAACATTGTTCCTCGTTGTAACTTGGAAATTAATAAAGTGCTCACAGCAGTGACACAAAGCAATATAACATTTACAACGCCCCAGACAAAGAAATTATTTCTTTTTTTTTAAAGGGAAAGCAGACGTAAACCTTTCACTACACAGTAGTGCAACCTCAAAGAAACATTAGCAAATTCTTTTGTTTCTTTGTAAAACAAATAAATATCTTAATTGAAAGACATACCATACCAGACACACGATGTTAGAACAAACTACAGAGACTTGTCATACTACAAACTGTATTACAATGTCTATGAGCTGCCAAGGTTCTGAAAGCCTCTCCTTTCTTGAAACAGGTGCATAAAACTCAGTTTTCTGAAATACTCAATGATAACTATGAGAAACCTTTGGTTTTATGCATTTAAGTCAGTGTGTACACACACATATTTGTAAAGTTTGTTTACAATTAGCTTTTTTGATGGTCTTACATAAGAAATACCTATTTTCAAGTGACTAAGTACTTGTTTTTCTGGAAAATACACAGTGGACATATGTGCAATGCTAAAAAGAGAACTACATAAGTCAAAATTCAGTATATAAAACTATGCAAAAAGAAAGAATTTTTGTACTATACATCAAATCTGGAGGGCTATTCACACTTGTTTTAAAATAGGTTCATTGATAAATGCGTTAATTTATGTGGGGACAGGCTGTATTTTCATCAGTTCCTCTAATATTCGCATACATTGGATATTTACATACATGGTGGATACATGGAGTTATGAGGTTTGATTTTCTGGCCTCAAAGGGTGAAAAAAAATAAAATGTTTACACCTTATTTCCACCTAAGCCTGAAAAAGAAAAAAATCTGGTAAATTTTAAGACAGAAGCCCTAATCCCCACTTCATATGGAAGCAGTTTTGCAGGCAATCATTGGACATTTGCACAAAAATTGTATCACATAAACCAACTTTCTTCAAGATCTATAAATATGTTTACATATCCTCACAGAAGTTAAATGAAGTTATTTCTACCTTAGACTATCATTTATGTCAGGATGACTATAATGTGAGTTGCTTTTTGCAAGGTTTCTCAAGAAGACAGATCAATTACTAAATATATGCAAGCAGCCAACATTAAAGCAGTTGGACTTTGGGCTAACTGAACCTGTGTTCCTGCTGATTTACACCATTTGTTCCCTAAGAGCATTCTGTTCATCCAAATCACTGCCCCATGGTCTCTCACCTACCCTCACTGCGCAAGGGAAGGTACGTGGTGTGATCAAAAAACATACAACTATTGAGGTCTCCTCACTTTTTTTTTTTTTCAGTTCTGAAACAAATTTCCATTCATTCTTGTCCTCTACCCTGATTTCTATGACCTTAGTTTTGGTACTACTATCTTTCTGCCAAATTCCAATAAAAATGGCTGATGGATTCAGAGGATATCATATGAAAGACAAGTATAAAAGATGGACAAATACCTTAGCCACACAATCTTTATTTCTTTAGGAAAGCTGGTTAAAATTCCAAGAGAAATCATATGAAAAATTCCAAGTATGCCTGACAAAACATAGCTAGATTTAGAATGGAAGTCATATTTAAAATAAAGGGTGGAATGTAGGAGTTTAAACAACTTGAACTACTACTAGTATATTATACAAGCTACTGGCATGATAAGAGGGTGCTGAAAAATTGAACAAAACAAAAACAGTGACAAAAGTCCATGCCTTTCCAAAATGTATTCCTGAATTTTGAGAATTTGATAAAAATAAAAATTAAAATTAAAATTAAACTGGGCCACAGAAGCTGTATCCCTTTAAGTATGCTAATTATTTACTACTGAAATTTAAGGAACTTCACGCCCTAAAATTTTAGCATTGAAACAAAATATACTTCACAAAATATACTTTCACAAAGTCCAAAACTTCCCAGTATATCTTCCAAATCCAGATGGACTTTATCTATTTTCAGTTATACCTAAGTTTAAGAATGCTCATTTCAAACATCAAATACTTAAATATTTATATGGAGCAAAAAAGGTAAGATCCTAACCCTTCACAAAACAGATTAAGCCAAAAAAATAAATCCCTCTCTTCATCATATAGCATATTTAGGGGCTGCTGTGGCTTGACACTAACACTTGGCAGTCCTGTGCCGAGGAGAGACCAGAAATATGCCAAGGTAAAGGTGAACCTCCAGGCAGCACCGTAGTCAGATCCTGACCCAAAAAGCTGGGGTTCAGCTTTAGCATCTTGTCTGCAAATGGGGTTTTCAGAACTCTCCGGTTAGGCTGTGCTATACACAGCTGTGTGAAGCAACACTGTCACCCAGTGGCTTGACTCGGGATTTTTCTTCGATGTTCGCAGGGTCTGAGAGTACTATCCAGACCTGATTGCCACACTACATGACAGTTTTCAAACTGGATAACATTAAGTATACAGCTTAATAACACTGTCTGGTAAAAATCAAAGCTCTGTAGCAG